AATATTTGAATACTGCAATTAACAAACTTGATCCAACTGGAAATGACATTTTTTTCCAAGTACACAGGAAACATTTACAAAAATTGTCCATGTACTTGATAAGCCTTAAAACAAGTCTCACACAACTTCAAAAAATCAGTATCAGACAGACCATATGCTTAGACAATATGCAATTATATTAGAAATTAACAACAAAATAACTTTGATAAAATCTATACATTTGGAAACAAAAATGAATAACCCATAAATTAAAAAAGAATTACATTGGAAACTACAAAATACTTAGAATTTAATGTTAATGAACATCTACTTAGGAAAACTTGTGGGATATGTCTAAAACAGTAGTCAAAGTTAAACTATACCTGACCCAAAAGGTTTCACAGGTGAGTTCTACCAGTCAATGAATAGATAATTCAAATTTTACACGAAATCCTGGAGAATAAATAGAAGAAACACTCCAAGCTCATTTCATGAAACTAGTATAATCCTAACACCAGAATCTGACAAGGACAATACAAAAAAGGAAAATTATAGGCCAACCTCACTCATGAACATGGATGAAAATCTTAAACAAAACAACAGCAAATCAAATCCAGTAATATATAATAAAAGATAATATAACATAACCAAATTATGTTTCTTCCAGGAATGCAAGCTTGGTTCAACAATGGAAAATATATTCATTTCAGTCATCTTAATTAATGCAAAAATGCATCTGATCAAATTCTATAACCATTCAATTGAAACTCTCTTATTAAACTAGGGATAGAAGGAAAATTGCTTCACCTAATAAGCAGAACTTCAAGTTGGGAAGAATTTCCAGGAAAACTCATTAAAGGGAGTTGAATCCCATGTGTACCCTTTTGCCTACCTACTTTTCTGCTGCTTACACTGGGACTTGCTTTATAACTGAAGCTCCAGCACTTATTGTGGCCTATGAGGTGATCTTAAAATGTGGAACTAGATATTAAGCATAGAAGAACAGAAAGAAGAAACCTGGCTCCCTCATATCTTATGGCACTACCA